TTCCAGCGACCCCCCCAGCCCCACACCCCACCTGCAGGTAGTTGCTCTCGCAGTACTCAGCCACACGCTGCAGGTTGCTGTGGTTGTCACGCAGGCCCTGCCGTGCCGTGGGGACATCGCAGGGCTGCAGCGGCTCCGCCATGGTGCTGGGACTGGAGCCCACTTCCTCCCCAGCCTCTCAGGCGCCGCGTTTTGAAGCTCGCGGCGATGCTGACGCACTGCTCTGCGGATGCCCTGTGGGTTGTCACCTCTCCCAGCTCCGCCAGCTCTGCCGGCCCACAGCCCCATGAGGAGTGGGCTTGGCAGGCTGAGGGCTGCCATCTTGTCTGCCATAGCGGTGGAGGCTTGGGGGCATGGAGGGGTGGAACCCGAAAGCTGTTGAGGTGCTGCAAGCCCAGTCCCCACCAAACCTGCCCTTCACATCCATACTTACCCCTCCCCCCACCCACCCACCCCCAAATTCAGCCGTCCCCATCAAGGGGGCCTTCATGAGGTTGAAGGCAGTACAGCCCTGGGCAGAGTGGCATTTCAAGGACAATGCTACATTTTGGCTCCTAAGGGCCCAAATTCGGCCACTTCTGGGCGTTTTGGTGCTTGCATCTCCATCCTCTGACAGAGTCCATTAGGCACGGGGCCAGGCTTGGCTCTGTTGCACTCAGTAGGGGGAATTCCCTTCCCCTTGCCTTTATGGGACTGGCAAGAGGAGATCTAACCTCAGGATGGTGCTTCCATTGCCAGCTCAGGTTCCCCAGACGGCCCCATGCCCCCACCTCGCCCAGTTCAGGTGCAGCCATCAGTTTCTGCTTGCTTCTGTGTGCCGGGACAGCACAACCCTCCTTGGTGCTTTGCTGATGGCCTTTCCCATCCCCACAGCACAGTGCCAGAGGCCATGGCCAAGGGCAGGAAACTCTCACTTCCCAGCACTGGGAGGGTCCTTTATGCTGGGAATCCCCCTCCACCTCCTCCTCTTTGCGCTCCCTCGGGGCCTCCTGAACTCTGTCCTCAGCTTCAGTGTTGCGCATGGGCCAAGCAAGAGCCAAATGCCCATCGTGAGCCCAACAGTGTGAGGATGAGGGAAATGTTGAACCAGCTCTGCTTCTCACACCCTCAATGGCCAAGAGCCACCCCAAATGCCTCCTGGACCCCTACAGTCCCCTTACCCAAGCTCTCATCCTCTCCATTCCCTCCTATGGTGGAACCTGTTCCAGCTCCCATAGCAGATGCTCCCTTTGCTCCCCTAGCTGGGTTCCAGCCCTGCACAGGCTCAAACACACACACTGGGAGCTCAGGGGCTGTCGAGTGCCCCACAAAGCACATCTCCACCCTTGCCCTTCCTCCCCCATCTTCGCCCTCTCCCAGCCCTCCCCTATGGCCCCACCACTGATTACCCAGAGCTTTGAGGCTAATGCCCAACACCTGACCAGCTTATTCTTCTGAGTCTATTATCAGCTTAGGGACCAAAGACATCTGCTACCTGCTCCTGGCTGGGAGATCTGAAGGAGTCTTCAAACAGAACAGTGCAGACACAGAGGACGGCGGCTCGATGGGTTTCTGAATACCTCCAGCACTGAGAGGGGGAGCCCCTCATCCACACAGGTAAGTGGCTTTGCTTCTTTCCCAATGCACAGAGGCATTGCAGGTGCTATCACCACCTCCACGGGTTGATAAAAGCTGCAGCTTTTATCTTCTTGGGACTCATCATGCCCCATAAGCATTGATGGGGAGAGGAGTACTGGGTATGCATGCCATGAAAACAGCCACACAAAACCAGTGGGGTCTGAGGAACAGAAGTTTGATGCCTTCCAAAGCAGGGACAAGACACACCGCTGCTTTAATCACATTCCTCTTTACAATTTAAGAGGTTGTGGCCAGGCTTTCAAGCTAAGTTTTAATATGGGAGCAGCACAAGCCGACTCTCCAAATCTCTCTTATATCCCTTGGATGCACCTTTGTAAAAAACAGATGAGCTTTTCCAGCTCACACCATGGAATGTCTCTGTGCCACAGAGGTAACAGCAATGAAGGGACATAATTCACACCATCACTTACTTGCAAGGGTGGCACAATGAGTGGAAGAGAAAACAACAGTTTAGTTCCTCACAGTGCCTGTGGGCTGCTCCTGCCCAAGCAGAAAAGTGTAGTTACAAACTCACATTGGGAAGGCATCGTCTGCACCTATGCTGCACTGCTTTGTTTAGGAGATGCTGTATAGTTTGGTACATTCTTATCTGGGTCCTCCTAAGATGCTGCAAACCCAACAGCCCCGCAGTGCAATTGGTTTTTCTGTGGGCTCAGCCAGCCCCACTGAACCAGCCATCTCTTGTCCTTGGGAAACAGCCTCTGCTGTACACAAAGAAAGGGCTGGATCTTCTGCTGCTGCCTTCAAACCACTGTTTTTGCTCCATTTGTCTGGGTGAGAACAAGCAAAGCAAAATTTGATTACTGCAGTTACACTGTGCTTTGAAAGGTGCCCGAAAGCTTCAGCTGAGACGTTATCAGCATTTGCAATAGTGTTAGGGCAAAAGCAATAGCCCTAGCGTGCCTTAGGAGAAGCCTTACTGCACTTCAAGCACGCGCCATCTCTGTTGGTTACAGGGCAGAATGGCTCAGGATATGACAGAGAAGGAACTGCTGAAAATGGAACTGGATCAGCTGAAGAAGGAGGTAAAGAACGAGAGGCAAATGGTGAGTATTGCCCCAAAATGCAAAATGGGGAGCAACCTTGGCACCCTGAGGATGCTGATGGGGCACACCACAGCCAAGGGCAGCTCCGTGGTTCCCTCTCCCAGAGGCTCACATGGATTTGTAGGCAGACGATCAGCAAGAGAGCTGCTCTGCAGTGACTGCTTGTTCCCATAACCCACACGAGGCGTCTCCTTCCTTCCTTCCTTGCAGGTCTCCAAGACCGGCAAAGAGCTCAAGGAATACATTGAATCCATGGCAGGAGAGGATCCACTGCTGAAAGGTGTCCCTGAGGACAAGAACCCCTTTAAGGAGAAGGGCGGCTGTACGATAAGCTGACATCCTTCCTCCTCCTGCACCGCCCTGCTTGGGCACAGAGCCATTCCCATGCTCAAGCCAAGACTGTCAGAAACCTGCTTTCCCTATAGTCCGACCTCAGCACTGGGGAGTACCAAAATAAAGTGTAGTCGCATCTGAAGTAGCAGCAGAAAAAAGAAAAATTATGAGAAAAAAAGAAAAAAAAAATTACCCCTGTGATTGCAGAGATGAGGTGCAGCAGATGGAGCAGAGCGTGTTTGTGTGCTCCCATCACTGATTGATGGTTGGTTTCCAGCAAGCAAAAGTTCTGTGTGTTCAGCAGGCAGCAGCAAAGTGGGCTTTAATGGCACAGGTAGGGCTAGGAATGGTTTGTAGGTATAGGGAGGTACTGAAACACGTAGGGCTGTACCTGGACTCCAACCCCAGGCATCCCAGCAGCAGGGCAGGCTCCAAAGCCTAGAGCAGAGCCCTGCATCCCCACTCGCTGCAGAGAAGCATCCCGGTGGGACCTCGCTCACGTTATCACCTATCAGTGCCTGAATCCCCCATCTGGCACAGGCAGACAAACACGCTCTGATGCTCCCAGGGGTCTGAAGCTTTCATCTCCTCTTTCATAACTCTGTCCATCGCTCACAGATCGCACCTCCCACCCGCAGTGCGTCTACAGGACCGGGGAAAGGGGGCTGGGGGAGGGGGGCCGAACAACCCAAGCGGGGCACGGGAACGAGCAAAGCCTCCATCAAAAACATCAGCCTGCCTCCGTGTCCTCCTCGGGAAACCCTCCGGCAACCACAAGAGATCAAAGCCTGGAGGTTTACAAGTCTGGTTCTGCTCGAAGCACTGCCTTGGCTTCACCTTCCGCTCTGTGCAGCCGGGGAAGAGCGGACCGCCTCCATGCGGGCAGAGGTGCTGCAAAGCCTCGTCCCGCAAAGTTTCACCATTGATAAGGATCGACTCGGAGACGGCAACTCTGCTTGGAGGTGGCACAAAAACCGGGGCAGATTGGGGCGGCACAGGGATGAGGTCGATGGGGTGCAGGGGCCCATAAAAAAGGGAAAATAAAGGTTTTGTTCTTCCTCTCGCGGAAATACTGAATAAATCCACTCCGTTCCATACGCGGTCTCTTGTCTCTCTCGTACCCGCGCTCCCGTGCCAAAAACATCACCTCGGGGCCAGCATCATCCGTCCCCGCCGCTAACCCCGGCGGAGGTCCTATAGAGCTCCGCGACCCCTGAGCTCAGCAAAAACAGCCCGCTTAATCCCGGCTAAACCCCGCGCCAATCCCCTCTCATCCATGCACCGCCACCAGCCCGCCCCTTTCTGACCAGCCGCAGCTCAGCTCTTATCAACGAGCCCCGCGATAGCTGCGACCGCAGAGGGAGGGAGGGAAGCTACCAGCCAATAGCAACGCGGGAAGTCGTGAGTGTCGTCCCACGCGCCCAATCGGAGCCAGCTCCTGGATTAACTCCCGCCCCCCCCTTAACACCGCCCCCGCCGCTCTTCCCGCGCATGCGCATCGCGGCGCCGGCGCCCCCGCACAAAATGGAGCCCGGGAGGTGCGCGGTGCCGGTGGGGGGGTGGCGGAGCGCGGGGCGACCCCGCAACGCTTCCCGCAGCACCACGCCGCCGCTGCCGTCCGGCGGGTTCAGCGACGCGCCGGGGGCAAAAAGTACAGGAGGTCCCACCGAGATTTGAACTCGGATCGCTGGATTCAAAGTCCAGAGTGCTAACCATTACACCATGGGACCACGGCATACGCGTTGCGCCACGGCGCCTTCAGGCTTTGCACGCCGCCGCGGGCGTCCGCCCCAACCCCAAATCTACCGTGGGTCCCGATGGAGTCCGCCTCGCACGGCCCCATATCTGCGTACAGCCCAGTGCCGGCAGCAGCCCCGTTCGCCTCCCCCGAAGCTCCCGCTGCTTTCCTTTTAAACCGGGACGCCCGTCGCCGTGACCCCGTTCCCCATCCAGCGGCAAGAAAAGGGCATTCCACCGTCCTCCAAACGCCATTGAATTGTGACAAGGGCTTGGGTTCCACCACCGCTGCTGGACGGCCCCGAGCACGCGTGGCATCGGCCCGTGCACCCCCCGGCACCTCCATTTCTTCGTTGCCAACCCCCCCCCCACAAAATTGATGAAAAAAATGCACAGGAACAGCATTAGAGGAATTTTTTTTTTTCTTTTTTTTTTTTTTTTTTTATTTTTTTTTTTTAATTTTTTAAAAATGAAACAGTGGAGTAAAGCGGTTTGTGGCAAAACCTCGCTGGGAGAGAAATGAAACCTGCATCCATCCGCCATCCCTGCTACTCCACACCCAAAAGCAACGGCTTCGCGGTGTGGGAAGGATGGAGGCGGAACAGGCAAAGAGGAGGGGAAAGGTAGAAAGAAACAGCCAAGAGGAGGAACACCAGCATCGGCCCCGTACAGTACAACGGTATTGAGGAACAGCCTGAAATCACACTGGGGCGGCTGCTGGGAGACATTGCTTTGGCCATTGGTGTGGTGAGAGCCCTTGGGTGCAGCTGTCCCATGGCTCCTGGGTGTGGGGTGATCGGGAACCCAGAGCTGGCTCAGTTGGATCAGATTGTATGGCTGGAAGACCAACTGCTCAGAGCAGTGCTCATGCTGTCATCAGCCCAGTGGCACCAACCCAATGCCACCAACCCAGTGCCACCAATTTAGTGCTGCCGGCTCAGTGCTACCAGCCCAACGCCACCAACTTGGTGCCACCAACCTGGTCCAACCAAACCAGTGCCACCAGGGAGCCACCAGTCCAACTTGGTGCCACCAAGCCAGTTCCACCAATCCAGAGCCAACCTGGTGCCACCCACCACCCCAATTCCACCAACTTGGTGCCACCAAACCTGATTCCATCAACCTGGTGTCACCAACCTGGTACCACCACCCCAATTCCATCAACTTGGTGCCATCAACCCACATCACTAAGCCACCCACACCCATGGCCACTGGGAAAACCATTGAATGATGGCCCCAGCATCTCCCACCCATGCATGATGGGGTTCAGCCCCGCGACGCCGGGGAGCTGATGGAGTTCTACTGCTGACAGAAGTAAATATCAAAGTTCAAAAGGGAAAAAAAAAAAAAAAAAAAAAAAAAAAAAAAAAAAAAATGTAATGGAAGTTTGAGCATTAAAAATTAAAAAAGAAAAAAGAAAAAAAAAAATCAGTCATAACCGAACGGTTTGGACTGCTGAGGTCTGGAGCTTTTACAACTAACGACCACTTTAAAGTGAAAAGAAAGCCCGTAAATTCTATTTTTAAAGAACATTTTTCTTTGGAAAAAGAGTAATTTTTTTTTTTTTTTTTCCCCTAAACTACAGCATGTGGAGTTGCCACTACCTAGTTTTAATCTATTGTCACTAAGAGGTAGATAAACAAAAATGACTTGGTTATATAGGAGGTCGCTGACGTGGTGGAGCAGGCAGACCCCCGGCTCCAGGGCTTCCTCTGGGGCTTTGCCTCATGTAGGGTGACCCCCAAAAGTCGTCAGGTTCCGATGCAGCCACCCAGAGCTGGATACAAGGCAGTATCAGGGGAGGGGGAAGGCACATGTTGGGTCTGAGGACCGGATTTTGCCTCCTGAAAGTCAACGAAAGTTTGATGTCAACACTGAATCCAGATGTGCTTCAAACGAACCATTATCTGCTGGGTAACGAACACTTCAACCCATTCCAGTGATTCTCACCGTTTCCACTCTGATTCCAGACAATCCCATCTGTTTTCTGGGGTGACCCCAGTGGCAGTGGGGGGTGTGGGAAGGATGGGGCCCTGTGGGATGCTCTGCCCCAAGCGCTGCATCCCCACGGACAACAGCCTGTGCTGCTTTACAGAGACCATTTACATGATGGGTCTGAAAAAAAACACGGCTTTGGTTCTGCTGTACAGCTGTCTCCCATGCCTTAATTTGGTGCTGGTTCTTTTTTTTCAAGTGAAAAGTTCCTTTTCATCATTAGCTCATGTTGATGTTTTCCAGTTCGTAACCCATTGCTTTGCCACCATGGCCCAACACAGCATCCCTACTCAGAACATCCTTGCTGGGAGCATCCCTGCTTAGAGCTATTCGCCCTCACCAAAAGCTACAAAATGCATAATGCAGCAATGGGTCAATTTCCAACGGGCCCAATGTACTGCCCAGTGACCATTCCAAACCAGCAGCCCCAGCAGTCTTCCTCACCAGCTCTCCTCTTCTGCACTGCAGCTCTCCCTTGAGATGTCCCTGCAGTCTGGGGGGGGGGGGCGGCCTGTGCCCAAAGCTCCTCCGTGCCCAATGCTCAGCCCTGAGGTAGTTTGCACGTGTGCGTTTGCAGCATCTGCACCTTCTCCAAAATTCAACATTGAAGAGCCTCTCTGCTTCCTGGTTTCCCTTTGGGGCTTATCCAGAATCACAAATGTTCCAAAGGGGGGAAAAAGAAGAAAAAGAAGAAAAAAAAAAAAAAAATAGAAAACCACCAAAACGATGAAGGAAGGTCGAGGCTGATGAGCGAGGCTACATTTTTCCCTTCCTACTCCACACCAATTCAGAGCTCCCGTGCCCTGCACCACCATGGTTCACACGTCTGATAGGACCTGGAGCATCACTCAGCCCAGAGCTGACCTCCAGCTCTGCCCACAAATGGACCCCCAGTCTACTCAGACCCTTCCAGCTGCTGGCACTCAGCAATGGGCAGCCATTGTCCTCCTCTCCCTTTCCAGGAAGATGGAATGGAAACTTCTTGAACAAAATCATTGCCAACCACTGTTCCCAAAGCAAATCTGCAGCCCAAATCCTTCACCTCCCATCTGCACAGCCCACGGACAGGCTGGATCGTTAGCAGCAAGAGTATTACTGGGATGGCTGAAGGGATGCTTAGTGGAACGTACACTCGTCACAGGCTCACACTGACTTCACCCAAAGGAAACAGAAGCTACAACAGAGAAGAAAAATAGAAAAAAAGGGAAAAGAGAAAAAAGAAAAGACTCCATAAAACCCAGTGCTGCCGAAACCCCGTTGCCTCAGATGCACTTTGAGGGCTGAGAAAATGGGCAGAGCCTGGAAGGACAGAACAAAATCTGATTTTTCGGTGGGGTTTATTTGGCTTTGTTTTTCATTTGCCTCCAGCTGAAAGACAACACAACATCCTGACAGCATGAACACAAACCCCATAACCCACACAGCATCGCTTTGCCCGGTGCACGGCCCTGAGGACCACAAAGTGCTTTGGGGGCACGGGGGCTGTGGGCAGTACCCTGTGTGAGGTAGGTGAGCAGCATGAACCTCAGCAGGGAGAAACTGAGGCACGGAGGAAATTCTCCTCATTATTTTTGCTTCCTTTCCTTTTTGCTTTACATCCTCAGCACCAGTGAGAAACAAATCCCTCAGCCCTGGGGAGCAGAAGGCTGCATTGCCCCATTCCCCCTATCCTGCCCCAAGGTTCCCCACGTCCTCAGGTCAAAGCTCAGCCCCCAGGGGAGAAATACCCCACATCCACAGGGTTGGGCTTGCTGCTTTCTCACTGCAGAAGAAATTAAATATATAAACCCAAAGGATTTCTGTAAGGAAAGCAAAAGGCAGGAGGAGGGCAGGAGCTGGAGATGCTATTGCCTTTCTGGTCCTCAGCAAAGCTGTGCCATGAGTGAGCACCTGCCTGATTGCTGCTGCTATATTTTTTATCATTCAGCAGATGGGGGCTGATTTTCTTGCTTTCAAAGTAGGGTGGTTTCCTCCTAAACTGCCTTTTTCTTTTCTTTTTTTTCCCCCTCCAGTGCAAAGAAAGCAGTTAACAGGCAGCAAGGTTCCTTCTCCTCCCTTCTTGCTGATGGGCATCCCTGATTCAAAGCTCACATCTCCTTCCCTGGGACCTGGGGCAGGGATCCTGGCAGGAGATAGGCACAAGTCCTATTCAACTCCATAGGACATCAATAGGGATTTAAGCAGGGATTGAAGGAACACCACCGAGGGCAGACCTGCCCCTTCCCAGCAACCACCTTTGGAAAAACAAAGCAGCCCCCAAAGAACCTCTCAGCCCTTGGAACAGCACCACAGGGGGAGGCACAGCTCCCACAAAGGGATGGCAATGGGAGCAGCACAGCGGGGTGGCACCGGGATGGCAGCACAGAAATGGGGGAAAGCATCACAGGTTTCCCTGAGTCACCATCAGGTTTAGGTATGTGTCCGGATCTGGATCTTATCCATGCAACAACCCAGAGGAACAGGACTGGGGGTAAGGAGGGGGAAAATGGATCTTTTGTTTTTTTTTTTTCTCCTCAACGATACACTTTGCACCAGTTATTAAAAAAAAAAAATAAAAATAAAAATAAAAAATGCTTGCTGTGGGAAAAAGAAACACAATTCTTATAATCACCGATGTCTGAATAACACTGATCTGTCCAAAGCTGTAAGAAGTAGAGAGCCAGAGATGAACACTTCCCTAAGACACAACGGCAGCCCCAGCTGGGACCGAAGCAGCCCACCACCACTGCACTGCATCACCCACAGCCCCATGCACCTCGATTTCCATCTTCTCATCCAATGCAGAATGGGTCGTTTTCCTGCAGGGACAAACAGCAAGATGGCACATAAAGTAAAAAAAAAAGAACCTTTTCAAGCATATAGGGTGAGGTCCGTGCCTGTTATTCGTGAGGGTCATTCCATTTTTCTCTCTCCTCCGTGTGCGTTTGCAGAAGAAAAGTTGGTTTCCATTTCTGTCTTTTTTT